TTGACATTTTTGTGCTGTCAACAACAAATACACATGGTTATGTTTAGCCAACACACACACACGTGTTTGGGTTTAGGAAAAAAGAGTTTGTCAGGGTTTGGCTTTACAATCATACAGGAGGTGAACACCGGCTTCCTGGGTGAAAGTCTGTGATTGTTGGACCCATCCACCACCACACCCACCAACCCTAGTTGGACTTCTGTTGCCGTAACTTTTGTTGTTGTAGTGCTGTATTTCCCCCTGATGCTGCTGGATGCTTTTAAACAATAATGGCGACCATCCGCATATTGTGCTGACATGGAAGGACGTCTTTTTTTGTCTGTGTCTGACACCAGAAGTCTCTGATCCGGTGCTGGTTTTCAACAACTGTGGAGTGAGACCAGGTTGTCAGCACAGTTTCAAGGTGGACACCTAAGATTAATGTCACCAATTCAGTATCTGACGTAATGTCTCCCTTTCTACTCCTGAGATATGACGATGAATAATGGCCAGTAAAGTGTTGTATGCAGAATATTGTGATGTCAGAGTGAAGTTGACCTTTTACCTTTGGAATATAAAATGTCATCACTAAATCATTATATCCTATTAGACAACAGCCATTGTGTCATAATTAGCATAAGAATACTTAAGTTATGGCCAAAAACATGGTGACCTTGACCTCTGACCACCAAATTATTACCTCCGCCAAGGAGGTTATGTTTTCGCCGGCGTTGGTCTGTTTGTCTGTTTGTTTGTCTGCAAAATAACTCAAAAAGTTCTAAACGGATTTTGATGAAATTTTCAAGAAAGGCTGATAATGGGACAAGGAACAGATGATAAAATTTTGGTGGTGATCGGCTGAAGCGAAGTGGATAAAATAATAAAATGGCGGGAAATCCGAGCTGCTTGGCGGAGGTCTGCGCTCTCTGAGTGCTTTTCTAGTTATAATTTTATTCATTAGTCCAAGTGGATGTTTGTGCCAAATTTGAAGAAATCCCTCAAGGTGTTCTTTAGATATTGCTGTCCTATGGATTAAATAGATGCAAGGTCACCGTGATCTTGACCTTTGACCCTTGACCACTAGAATGTAATCATTTCATCATTATGTCCAAGAGGATGTTTGTGCCAAATTTGAAGGAATTCTGTTAAGGTGTCTTTGAAATGTCCTGTTAGATGGATGGATTGGGGTTTAAGGCGTAGACAGTTAGTCACTTAGACACAAAAACATGGGCAAAAGGGGTCCAGGTTGACAATTACAGAAGATACCCTTTAAGCAAAGAAATTTCCATGCCATCAAAAGGTATAAACTCATTTTTAATCAGCTGGGAAATTTTATTTTTGACTTGTGTGTGTGATGCATTCACCTAGTGACAGAGGAGGGTTCAGTGGTAAACAAGAACCGAACGCAACAAATGAAGCAAATCCTGGGAGGTAGTTCAGATGATTAAAGTTATTTTCTCTGCTACACTTTGTTACACCTGTAGGCTCTGAGTAGATGTTCCTCTAGTAGTATCCTCATTCTCTACTCCCTGCTGAGCTTGGTGTTTCTTTGTGGCTGCAACGAGGTCAGAGCCTAGACACCAAATATAGGATACTACATACATAATAATCTATCCCTCGTTTGATTTAACTGACTCAAACTTTCTATTGTTAATAGTCACATAATCTTGAGAAAATTGAGTGCGTTGGGGGCCCTTGTACAAACCAAACTCAAAGTTGAATATATTAGGCCAGTACTGCATTTGTTTGTTGAAATATGTTAGACAGATGCCCCACCACTACTAAAACAAGAGATTTCTTGTTTTTTAGTGAAACCCACAGAAACCAGCACATCTTGTTTGCTACCCAAAAATAGAAACCACTAAGCATATATTACATTAGCAACTCTAAACTTTTTATTCTTCAATCCTTCAAGATCAATGTGTAGGTCTATCTGGCTAAATGTGTGTAAAATGTTGCAGTGAAGACATGTAGAATATTTCCATTCGATGCAGCTTTCAAAAATAGCCTATCAGTTTTGTACTGCAGTTTTAATTATTTTCAAATGTATTCACTGTTGGCTTCATCACTTTTGTTTTTTGTTCTTATAGTAAATTAACTCTCATTTCTTATCAAACAGTAGATGCTTTGCTCCTCGTACAGAAACTGTCTGTCCCTCATATATCTTCCTTATCATTATAAGAAGCTTTGAAATACCTAAATTACACCAGAGCGCTGTGAAGCCACCAATTGCTCACTGTAGTTCTGTCATTGTGGTAAACAAAATACTACAGTTGTGTAAAAGAGAACTGGGTATCTTCATGTTTGTGGTTTCACAACAGCCGGTAAAAATAGAACTGTGTTGAATACTATTGATTATATGACCTAGATTAGTTTAAATCAAACATTTATGTTGCTAGACTAAAGGCACCACTTTGGAAATTTAAGGTTCCCATGGAAATTGTGTGACTGACGTGTTTATTGGTGAAAGAATGCTGCAAATTGCAAAGCCTGCAGGTCTCCTAATTCTCCTTCTGACCAGATTGTGCATAAAAAGACTTAAATAAGGAAATGACAATGATAATGTTTTTAGCCTGCGTTAAATTCAGACTACTGATGAGCTAAATTCAACATACTCCACACGTGCATAACTGGGGATCATATGACTTGAACTCAAGTCAGAATGTGATTACTTTAGACTTGAATTGTCAGAAACAAAAAGACGTGCAACTTGACTTTGACTTAATAGTAATAACTGGTGACCTCACTTGGACTTAGAATGTCTTGATAGTCTCCCTAAGCCCAAAGACTGACTATCATGTTATACACAGACAAAGAGTCTATAGCTATGGTCACAATGCGAAAATGGTGAGACAGAGAGAGGTTCACAGCAAACAGTAATGAAAAGATCTACAATAAAATTAATTTTAGTAATATAGTAATAATAATAATAATAATAATAGTTATCATAATAATAAAAGTATTTTGGTAGTATAGTGTTATATGTATATATTAATATATCATAGTATATACTGTATATGTGAAAATAATAATCATATGTGTACAATAATAGCAGAAGTATGATAATAATGATAGTAGTAGTACTTGGCATCAGACAGGACCACGGCAGCAGCATAACCACGACCCAAGAACCACGACCCAAGAAGCCAAGTTAGTTAGCAGTAAGAGGACTATTGAATAATGAATATTAGCAGGTGAAGAAGAAGAACCAACTTTAAGAATCTGAAATTGAGAGAGAGAGAAAGATAGAAGGGGCTCAGTGTATCATAGGCAGTCCCCCAGCAAACTAGGCCTAAGTCAGCCTAACTAGGGGCTGGTCCTGGGCAAGACTGAGCCAGCCCTAACTATAAGCTTTATCAAAAAGGAAAGTCTTAAGTCTCGTCTTAAATGTGGAGATGGTGTCTGCCTCCCGGACCCAAAACAGGAAGATGGTTTCACAGAAGAGGAACCTGATAGCTGAAGACTCTGGCTCCTGATCTACTTTTGGAGACTTTAGGAACCACTTGTAACCCTGTATTCTCAGAGTGCAGTGATCTGCTGGGATAATAGGGTACTATGAGCTCTCTAAGATATGATGGAGCCTGACCATTTAGAGCTTTGTAAGTGAGGAGAAGGATTTTAAATTCCGTTCTGGATTTCAGAGGGAGCCATTGCAGATAAGCTACAACAGGAGAAATATGATCTCTTCTCTTAATGTCTGTCAGCACGTTAGCATACTAGCATTTGCTAGTTAGCAGTTAAGGGAAATTCCAACGAATGCCAGTTATCATCCCCAGGTCATGAAATACTGATGCTTTGTCAGCTCCCATAGTAGCTCTTTTTCTCTGCTCCTATGGCAGCTCGACTCCTCCCCTCACCATTAATGTTAAAGTGTGTCACTTGATGTGCATAACATGACACGCTGTGTGGTGGCGGTGCTAGTGTGTTTTCAGTTTTGCAGGTATACCTATTTGGTCATAAACCAAAGTATTGGAAAATAGCAGTTTTGACCTGATGATGGTGCAAGATAAAATAAAGTAATTAGAAGTCATCTTCAGGGGAACATCAATGTCTGAACCAATGACTTTCCATCCAGTAACTGTTTAGATGTTTTTGTCTGGACCAAAGTGATGGACCTGACTGATCAATATTGCCATCCCAAGTTTCATGCTGTTCGCAAGGCTGAAATTACCATTTATCCTGGAACAGGGTTGAGGGTCGGGGCTGGAGTCTCTCCCAGCTGACACTGGGCAAGAGACAGGTACACCCTGAACAGGTCGCCACACTATCACAGGGCTAAAATATCAGCTGTCACTGATAATTCTTTCTTTTCAACCATCATTTGTGATTAAAAAGATGCTCTACTCAACATTAGCTAAATAGTTCAGATTTAGGACCTCTGATATTTGGATCAAGCAGCTTATGAGAAATATTTATAAATATAAAATGTGTGTTGAAGTCAGTGGGCTACAGATGTTATTTTAATGTGTGAGATAAATGTTTAATTAACGTTTCATATCTTCAGTTGCTCATCTTATTTTCAGGTACGAATCTTAGTTTAACTTATTTTTAGTATTTGTTACAGATGTTGAAAGCAGCATTTAAATGGATTCATTTGGGATTCAGAACTAGATTCATTAATCACATTTTTTAAAATTTCATAACATTTATTGAAAATAGAAAATACACATTTTATAAAGCATTCATTGCTTCTACAAATTATAATTAAAAATAAAATTGGATCGAATTTGGTGAAGGCAGCTCAATGACTTGTTTAAAACACAAAGTTTAGGACTTGAATTTGGTTTGGGGCTTGTTTTTCTTGACTAAGTACTATAGGCTACACTTGAGACTCACTTGTGAAACACAAATTTTAATGTTTTTTTTTTTTTTAATTCTAATTTTAAAAATAAAACAAAAAACAAATCAGACAACCCCCTTAGTTAAATTTCTTTTGTTCTATTTTGAATATTTTGTAAAACTGAAACCTTCCAATGTAGACAGTTAATGTGTGTCCTGTCCTCATCCTTCCCTGTCTGCAGGTGCAGCTCTGATTGAGATGGCCATGTCACTGTGCTGCTACAGGACAGTTGTATTGGTTGTGGCCTTCTGTTTCCTGCCTTGCATCACTTCCTCCCTCAACCTGGAGGATCCCAATGTCTGCAGCCACTGGGAGAGGTCAGTCACAATTTCTTTAAAAGCCTTTGACCTCATGAGCCTGCGTTACAATGGCCCCGATCACAGAGAAAGTGTTTTGAAGGTTGCAAAACGTGAGGCACACCACACTGCCTTTTTTTCTCCAGTTAAATGCCACTAGTAAAAAATGCTTGCTGTGCCTTTTTATTGTTGCCAGGCAACCACCTCATCACCTTCTTACCCTAACCTTCTTGGGTAATCAATGCATCCTTTTTTTAATTTATTTTTTATTTCATTTATTTCACTGTAATAGTAGCTAGTTCCTAAAATGGACAGGCAGAGGGTACTTGCTGTAGCTCTGGTTGATGGAGAGAGGCTGTCAGCAAATAGTTTGTTGGGCACAGGGAAATGCTGATCTGTGTGGGCACATGAGACCTCTAAAAAGGAGGGTGGATCATGAGGAGTAGCCTACCACTGGTTGGTCCTGGAGCTTCACCTCCATGATGGCCGTTTCAAGTATCGCTCTTACATGCTTCCACACCTGCTGTTTTCTATTGAGATGGTAGTAACTGGGGTTTGTAAAGTCATATAGCTCTGGGTATCCAGCAACTGCTACCACCAGTTTCTCCTCCATTGTTTACCAACTGTTAAATTGTTGTGACCACCACAGAAAGCCTGCATCTCAAATCATCTGATAGGACAATGGAAAATAAGTGGAGGTGACGTGGGGCACTTTTCTGCTTGGAATTAAATTTTTTTCAATTAGAGGGTTTGAAAAAAACACCAGGCATCTTGAATGCAGAAACCCAAGGTGCGTAGTAATGCAAAAAACAGTTCTTAGTCACCTTGTCAACTTCAGGCTGCATTGTCTGTTTTCACAAAATACACTTCCATTTTCACAGGAAATGTACAGTTTGTATACAGTCTCTTCCTGCCCACCATAGTTAGACTTCAGCTGCCTTAACTTTCGTTGTTGTCATTTCCTCCTAACACCCCGGAGCACTGTTAAACAATGATTGCAACTGTCCGCATATCATGCCGACGTGAAAGGATGGCATTTTTAGTTGGTGTCTGTCATTGACCAAGTGCCAGTTTTTGATGACTTTGAACTGAGACTGGGTTGTGAATTTACTCTGAGCACCTCGCTAAGATGCAACTCAACAAAATAGCTTACAGAATCATTGCACTAATTTGTCTTCATCTCTGGACAGCATGAAATATGGCCAATCCCAGCTGACAAGAATAAAAATTAAAACTTGCTATATTGAAACAAATTCCTGAAAATCTTTTTCCTGTTGATGGTTAGACGGTGAAAGGCCACTTGTTTTGTTCACGGCTCCCAACCTTTACTTCTTCTTCTCTGTTTACTGGTGGATTATAGCCATGTAAAAAGTGTAGCATAGTGTAATTTTGATGGCAATGTGCCTAATTTGCATTTCTTTTGTGCAACATTTTAAAAGTGTGCTTTAAATTTGCTTGACAATTTGTCTATTGTCTTTATGCTACCTTAAACACCAACCAACACATACCCCTGCACCGTTTTAAAGCAGGTCTGCTTTCAGTCTGAATCTCCGCTCACATATGAAGCTGGAGTCACGATATAGTTAGCCTAGCTTAGCATAAAGACTGGAAGCAGGGGGGAAACAGCTAGCTTAGAAACCATGTTTCTAAAGCTTCTCATTCTCTTTGTCATCAACACATTGTGCCTCAATTGTTTTTACATTTCAGTTTGCATAAAGTTTAAACAAACATGAAAGAAAGTGTTAATGAGTGAGACCAATCATTATTTAAGTTTGAAAAAGAGTTAAACAAATGAAATTAATCTCTTGGTTGATTTCCAAATTAAAAGGAAGCTTGGAAATCCATTAAGTGAGATGTTAAAGAAGAAAGGTGGAGGCAGATTTCCCAGCTATATTGCCTTTCACAGACTAATCTGAGGAAACAGCTGCATACGCACTCAGAGCCTCCATCTGCCATGTTGTCCTGCAGACTGCCTGCTGAGACAGATTCAGAGCAAGACCAGAGAGTGAAGAGACACGTAGTCTAACAAGTTAGTGATAATGAAGCTTCTTAAGAAAGCCTCAGATCTTAAGATGTGAGGAAAATTATGGCACAAAGTCAATTCATGTCCTGCCTTTAAAAAAAATGGTATCTTAAAAAACATCTGAAGTCAGTCAGCAGCAGGAAAAATGCATATTGTTTAAGGAACTTATATAGTAATACGTTCTTGTATTGGCATAAAAGGTACCTTTAAAGGTTATTTGCTGGTGTTTTTTATTTTTCACCAAAGGCTGAGAAAAACAGAAATGTCATACTGGGTTTTTTTCTCTCTTTGCTCAAAGTGTAAGTAAGTGGTAGCACTTTGATTTTTGGGTCTGTTAATAATTTCCTATGATGTTTCCTGAAAATAACGATGTAAATACACTTTTAGTCAGGAAATAGAAATGTCCTTGTAAGGAAATTTCTGCAAATAAATATTCTTTATTATTCATGTTGAGAACTTTATTCTTCACGTATGTTGAATTGAAGGCTTGCCTGTAGACACATTTTACATTTTTGCATGTTCAGCTGACTGGCTCTGCACTGACTTTAAGACAGCTATTCATTCATTCATTCATTCATTCATTATCTATAATCACTTATCCGGGTACAGGGTCGCGGGGGGCTGGAGCCTGTCCCAGCTGACATTAGGTGAGAGGTGGGGTCCAACCTGGACAGGTTGACAGACTATCACAGGGCTGACACATAAAGACAGACAACCATTCATGCTCACATTCACACCTACAGGTAATTTAGCGTCACCAATTGGAGAAAACCCACGACAAGTAGTTGGAATGAATTAACTAAAAACATACTAATTGATAAGTGTTTCTATTTTCCATTATTAGAACCAAATTACATAATTATTTTCAGGGAACTTATTGTAATTATGCAAATTATTCAGAATTTATGAACCCATACAATTAACCCTCTTGAAAAATGTTCCTCAAATTACAACCATCTGCTTTGTGTTGTTTGAAGAATTCAAACTGAAGAAGAACAACAGAAAAAAGGAATCTCAGAAAAATTCTAAAAATGATTTATTGCATTGAGCTTTAGATTTGTAGAGGTCTAAAATTCACAGTTAAAGCAATTCTATGCTGGATTGTTGGTTATTTTTGTAACAAAGTGAAAGTAAAAGCCATCATTAGATTCACTCTTGTTTGGCGTTTCACCTCACTACATCTGTTCTTTTTGATGCTGTGTCTCTTGGATTTCTGCTTCGGCACCTGGTCAGCACCTTTTTGTAAAGCCCCTCCTCAACTGAGCACTGTGGGGCTACATGTCTTGATGATGCCGTACTGTGCATTATCATGTTCAGTGTGTTTCCATTAATACACATGCAACGTCTGCAACGTATCCTTTCCTGCTTTTTAAGACTGCATCGGGGATAAGGAGCTGGGCTCTGGTTTGATTTGTTGTTGTCCCAATGATCAGCACATCTGGGTGATGTTAGTATATGTTGGATGTGTTTCCATTCACATACCCTACAACTGCAGAGCAATGCTGGCACACAATTTCTTTCTTGTGCATAAGTCTCTCTCCGGTGCTGTTGTAGCTGATAGGCATACCGGGAACCAACAGGTTCCTAGGTGGGTCTTCCACCTCTAGTGTATTAATTTGTGCTTGTCATAGTGACTTAATCACACGTCATTCCATTTGTTGCACTAAGCTTAATATGTGTTTATTGTGTTTCATATCATATGCCACACAAATATTGATCCATATCTCATAATTATCAGACTTTGATCCTATGCATGACCCTCCAAGAATGTTAATTTATTTAAAAAGGTCTGGGCTATTTTATTGTTTTATATCATTATGCTATTATTAATATAAGCAGGGGTTGTATGTGAATGCATGAATGGGTCAGACCTGTGTAGCACTGGATTTGAAATTAACTGTAATAAAGCTTCTGTGCTTTGATTACCTGCTGTGCAACAAGATGACCATCATCCATTTAAAATGAACATTAGTTCCTCTGAGCTTATTTTGGTTAAAGTAATGTAGTAGTGTAATGTAAAGTAGTGTAACAAGTAACTTATTACTCTACACAGAGAGTAATATTGTATAGTAACTAATTACTTTCAAAGGAATGTTCATAGTAATATGTAATTTATTACATTTTGAGAGTAACTTGCCCAAAACTGAGTACTTACTACTTTTATTGTAGTAAAAGATCTGAGTACTTCTACCACAGGTTGCAGCCCTAGTTTTACTAATACAAATGTGGTATTGAGATCATTTGATAAAAAAAATATGAAAAACAGGTGACTAGGTAATTGATTTGTCTCTAAAGTAATTCGTTATGTGGGCTACTCAATCAAAATACCACGCAGACAACCTGCAGTAAATATATTTACTGTAGGTAAACTACGACTAACAATAATAAACAATCGATAATGAAAATAATCTTTAACTGAAGCCATAAGTGATACAGTAACTGAGGTGAAAAATGAATGCCCCCACAGAGGCTGTGGTAAGAGCCGTTCACGAGACAGTCATAAGGTGGCTTTTGTCACCGCCCCCACAAAGTCTGTTTAATTTGCTGGTGAGATACAGTTATTCAAGTCTTTAAACCATACTGACTGATGGAGGGCCACACAGAGTACAGTGGCTGCTAGAAAAGCTGCTCATATCTAATCCTGTTTTGGCCCACACACACATGCACATACTGATTCTGCTCCTCATGTCTGATATCTCTCTCTTCCTGTTCTTTCAGTTACTCGGTGACAGTGCAGGAGTCATACGCCCATCCCTTTGATCAGATTTATTACACCAGCTGCACTGACATCCTCAACTGGTTTAAGTGCACCAGACACAGGTGAGGACCCCATCGCTGAGACCAGAATATGTCCGTGTGTGTGTGTGTGTGTGTGTGTGTGTGTGTGTGTGTGGAGAGAGAATAGGGGATGCATGATAATATAAGTACTTCATCAGTATCAGCCACTATCTGCTTTAAAATGAACTATCAGAGTCAGCCAACATGCTTTTTCTTATTTTTGCACAATGATTGAATTTTACATACTTTGACAAGAATTCTAATTCATGTATCCATCTGCTGGCGGGCCATCATAATAACAGTATGCATGTATAATATGATGTTAATTGCACTAGAGAAGAGATTAGATGATCACTAAAATTAGGGAGAGAAAAAAGTGGATGTATCTTTTTTCTTTTTTTTTTTTTTTTTTTAAAAAATACTTTTACTCGTCCATACCCATTGGTAGCTTTGTCACCTTCTACCTATGCCAATCCTCAATGCCTATGTGCAATTTCACATACATTGACCACGTCAGTGAGTAGAAAAACGTGGGACAGACAGAATGACTGACTGACAGAATGACACACTGACAGTTTCCATGATTATGTACAGCGTACCATACCATGACTTAGTCATACCAAAAATTAGGAAAAAAACAACAAACATTGGTCCACAGGGGGAGCCACAGCGATTGGTCACATTTTAGCCATTTTTAAGCATTTTTCTGTTGTTATAGCGCCACCCAGTTGCCAATTAGATTTAAATTTCTCCAGTTACCTTGAGGCGTCCTGTTCTACATATCTACCAAGTTTAGTAAAAATCTATATGGCGGTTAGACCTAGATAAAAAATTAGCTCTCTAGCTCCCCCATTTGTTTGATGGGGTCAATAATGGAGGGGTCCCCTCAGATTATGTGTGGTCATATGCCTACAAAGTTGTGTGGTGATCGGTGAAACCCTTGAGATGTTATACACCTTTATGTGATGAGCCACGCTCTCCGCAATATTCATTGCCTTATAGAAGCTCAGTTTTAGTAAGTTTTTCAACTTTTGCCAAGAGGGAACTTTGGATATTGGTCCCTAGATTATGTTCACCAAGTTTCATGCAGATCGGTCAAACCATAGATATATGTAATCATAGATGACTCATTCCTGTGGCTACTGTGTGTCAACTTCGCCGCCATCTTGGGGAGGTCACTGCCGGCTGGCTAGTACTGTTGTGTATGGAGATAAGTCTTCAGCAAACTTGGCGTGCTCACTCAGAAGTCTCAAAGTGTAATTGGGTGCCGGTCCAAAAAATTACAGCAAAGCAGAAAAACCCGACAGCACTCACTACTAAGTATGATACTTTTTAATATAGTGGATTGCACAGCAGCAGTCAAATGGAGCTCAGCTCATAGCCATCCTCAGCATTAGGAAATGGCCACTTTAGAATGAAAATACAGACAGTACTCATTGACCCTCATGCCGACAAGAAGTCCAGTGTAGTTTTTTAATCCACAAAACCCCTTAGGGGTATCGGAGGATAACAGCAACAATCCACTATATTAAAAAGTATTATACTTATTAGTGAGTGCTGTCAGGTTTTTCTGCTTTGCTGTAATTTTTTGGGCCGGCACCCAATTACACTTTGAGACTTTTGAGTGAGCACGCCAAGTTTGCTGAAGACTTATCTCCATACACAACAGTACTAGCCAGCTCAGCGTGACCTCCCCAACATGGCAGCGACGTTGACGCATCGCTGAAAAGGGCCGAAGCCGTCAACAAGGTATCTACTGTATATGATATCTATGGGTCAAACTTCCTAGGAAGAGATCGCTTTTAAGTGTTTTTCAAAAAATTCAAAATGACGGAAAATCTATATAACCGTAAGTTATGGGTTCCTCGTGAGGAGAGGCATCTCTGTGCAAAGTTTCATGTCTGTACGACATATGGGGCATGAGATATGCCCATTCAAAGTTTGCAATTTCAGTTGGTTACTATAGCGGCCCCCTTTGGCCAATTGATGTAATATTGCTTCATTTGCATCCTCCCATTACCCTCTACCACTGTGCCAAATTTCACATGGATTGACCAAGTCAGTGAGGAGAAAAACGTGGAACAGACACACCCANCATTACCCTCTACCACTGTGCCAAATTTCACATGGATTGACCAAGTCAGTGAGGAGAAAAACGTGGAACAGACACACCCACACACCCACAGACAGAATTTTCGTCATTATATAGTAAGATAAATCCCCAAGGGGGAAATTCAGTGTTTTCACTCCTTTGTCATATACATATACACACAGGCCCGAAATACACATGCACAAACAGGACCTTTTACATGCATTAAATGGAGAGATGTCAGAGTGAGGGGGCTGCCCATGGACAGGCGCCCTGAGCCGTTGGGGGGTTCGGTGACTTGCTCAAGGGTACCTCTGCAGTCCCCACGAGGTGAACTGGCACCTTTCCAGCTACCAGTCCACACTATATATTTTGATCCGGGCTGGGACTTGAACCAGCAACCCTCTGGTTCACAAGCCAAGTTCCTATGGACTGAGCTACTGCTGCCAGATTGGTATTGAGATTGGTATGAGTTATTGGCCAAATAAGTTGTTATATATCAGTATATCAGATATTTGCAAAAAATCCAATACCGTGCATCCCTAGTAGAGAATACTTCCCTTACCTGTCAGCCATTTTCCAAACCATACCACAGTGTTTAACCACCTCCCAGAAATGGAAGTTGCTTGAGTCAGGTTATCAGCACTGTGAACATCTTGTCGTCTTTTATTTTTGTCAAACATATGTTATTTTGGCATGGTAATGCTGTACTGATAATAAATATGCAGTAGCAAACACATGACCACACAGTAAGAACAGTCAAAAATAAAAACAGACTGTTTATTGCCAACTTAACAAATAGGTGCTCACCAGAAGGACTCACACACAGAACAAAAACAGACTGAAGTCTGGATTTCAAAAATCTCTATTTTACATGTTGCAGGGCTGCACAGACAGTGAGAAATTGTGCAAATGTGCACACAATGCAGAAAGTACAAACATTAGCAAAACATTGATAACATCTAGCTCTGGCAATGTTGTTTACCTTGTTGCATGCACCAAATGTGGTGTTCAATATGTCGGTAAAACAAGACAACTTAGATTCAGGATCAATGACCATAAAAGTGTCAACCGCCATGCTGATCCTCACTCAGCTATGGCCAGACATTTTTCAGATTATAATCATTCTGTATGAGATTTGGCATTGTGTGGCACTGACATGATATTTTGTCATTGCTGTGGGGGTAATATAGACCAAATTCTATTCCAGTGTGACTGCAGATATATCTTTTACCTTAAAACACTCCATCCCAATGGCTTAAATAAAGAATCGGATATGACCTGTTTCTGTGACTCATTTTATTGTCTCCCCAAACCAACTAACCCCACTTTTCATGTAGTCATTTCATTATTATGTGTATGTATGTATAACAGTATTTGTTTGAGACTATGCTTCGTAGCACTTGCCATTGGACTTGTCATGATGTGGCATGTTGATAATTGTCTTCATGTGTGCTTAATCAAGCTGCTGATAACTTACCAAGTGCACCTGTAAGAGTAACCCCTATATAAAAAACATTAAGGCAACACTTAATCATCACAGTATAGCACAGTCTCAAGAGCATGGAGGAGATACCAGGAGACCGGCTGTTACATGAGGAGAGCTGGACAGGGCCGTTGAAGGGCATCAGCCCAGCAACAGGACCAGTATCTGCTCCTTTGTGTGAGAAGGAACAGGACGAGCACTGCCAGAGCCCTACAAAATGACCTCCAGCAGGACACTGGTATGCATGTTCTTGATCAAACTGTTAGAAACAGACTCCATGAGGGTGGCATGAGGATCTGACATCCTCTAATGGGACCTGTGCTCACAGCCCAGCACTGTGCAGCTGGATTGGCATTCACCAGAGAACACCAGAATTTGCAGGTCTGCGGTTCACTAAGCTTTGGTGAATGCTATGCTGCCTGTAACATCATCCAGCTTGACGAATTTGGTGGTGGGTCGATGATGGTCTGGGGCATATCCTTGGACGTTTGTACAGATTTTCATGTCATAGCCAACAGTACCATGACTGCTGTTAGGTACTGGGATGAAATCCACACAGCAGTCCTCAGACCTAACACTGGTGCAGAGGGCCTTGGGTTCCTCCTGGTGCAGGACAATGCCTGGCCTCATGTGGCAAGAGTGTGTAGGCAGTTCCTGGATGACGAAGGCATTGATGCCATTGACTGCCCTCTCGTTCCACTGACCTAAATCCAATTGAGCATCTATGGGACGATATGTATTGGTGCGTCTGATGCCACCAAGTACCACCACAAACTGTCCAGGAGCTCACTGATGCCCTGATCCAGGTCTGGGAGAAGATCTCCAGGACACCATCTGCCGACTCATCAGGAGCATGCCCAGATGTTGTCGGGATTGCATACAGGCATGCGGGGGCCATACACACGATTGAGTTACATTATGAGTTGACGTGATATATTCAAGCAAGTTGGATCAGCCTGTAATTTCAATTTTGTGCTTTGATTTTCAGTGTGATTTTGAATCCAACCCTCAGTGAGTTGATGATTTTGGTTTCCACCAACCATTGTTATGTAATTTTGTTCTTAATGAATTACACAATGTACATCAGTATAGATTTGGAACTTAAATAATTCTTTTATCAAGTATGCATTCCTCATTCTGCACTCAGCAAAGTCCAACTTGGACTGAAATGTTTTGCACATTTGCACATTTTTCACTGTTTGTGCAGCCCATGTAAAATAGAGATTTTTGAAGTCTAGATTTAAGTCTGAATCTTTTTTTGTTCTGTGTGCAAGTCTTACTTTGCTACTTTGTGACATTTTTCTGACTTCCACACCAGATAAGAACAGTAACATAGGACAGTTTATTGAGGCACAGCTCATCCCATGCCTACCATTTAACCGAAATATCTAGCCATGCATATTTCCATCATTCTATCTACCATCCTGTGGGACCATTATTATAGCTGCAAAGGTTGAATATATGGCTGAGCTGTTATATTGGATTCTATTAAGTGGCTACTGAATGTATAATATACACTGAACAAAAATATAAACGCAACACTTTTGTTTTTGCTCCCATTTTTCATGAGCTGAACTCAAAGATCTAAAACTTTTTCTACATACACAAAAGACCATTTCCCACAAATATTGTTCACAAATCTGTCTAAATCTGTGTTAGTGAGCACTTCTCCTTTGCCGAGATAATCCATCCCACCTCACAGGTGTGGCATATCAAGATGCTGATTAGACAGCATGATTATTGCACAGGTGTGCCTTAGGCTGGCCACAATAAAAGGCCACTCTGAAATGTGCAGTTTTGCTTTATTGGGGGGGTCTGGGGGGGTCAGAAAACCAGTCAGTATCTGGTGTGACCACCATTTGCCTCACGCAGTGCAACACATCTCCTTCGCATAGAGTTGATCAGGTTGTTGATTGTGGCCTGTGGAATGTTGGTCCACTCCTCTTCAATGGCTGTGCGAAGTTGCTGGATATTGGCAGGAACTGGAACACGCTGTCGTATACGCCGATCCAGAGCATCCCAAACATGCTCAATGGGTGACATGTCCGGTGAGTATGCTGGCCATGCAAGAACTGGGATGTTTTCAGCTTCCAGGAATTGTGTACAGATCCTTGCAACATGGGGCCGTGCATTATCATGCTGCAACATGAGGTGATGGTCGTGGATGAATGGCACAACAATGGGCCTCAGGATCTCGTCACGGTATCTCTGTGCATTCAAAATGCCATCAATAAAATGCACCTGTGTTCGTTGTCCATAACATACGCCTGCCCATACCATAACCCCACCGCCACCATGGGCCACTCGATCCACAACGTTGACATCAGCAAACCGCTCACCCACACGACGCCACACACGCTGTCTGCCATCTGCCCTGAACAGTGAAAACCGGGATTCATCCGTGAAGAGAACACCTCTCCAACGTGCCAGACGCCATCGAATGTGAGCATTTGCCCACTCAAGTCGGTTACGACGACGAACTGCAGTCAGGTCGAGACCCCGATGAGGACGACGAGCATGCAGATGAGCTTCCCTGAGACGGTTTCTGACAGTTTGTGCAGAAATTCTTTGGTTATGCAAACCGATTGTTGCAGCAGCTGTCCGGGTGGCTGGTCTCAGACGATCTTGGAGGTGAACATGCTGGATGTGGAGGTCCTGGGCTGGTGTGGTTACACGTGGTCTGCGGTTGTGAGGCCGGTTGGATGTACTGCCAAATTGTCTGAAACGCCTTTGGAGACGGCTTATGGTAGAGAAATGAACATTCAATTCACGGGCAACAGCTCTGGTGGACATTCCTGCAGTCAGCATGCCAATTGCACGCTCCCCCAAAACTTGCGACATCTGTGGCATTGTGCTGTGTGATAAAACTGAACATTTTAGAGTGGCCTTTTATTGTGGCCACCTGTGCAATAATCATGCTGTCTAATCAGCATCTTGATATGGCACACCTGTGAGGTGGGATGGATTATCTCAGCAAAGGAGAAGTGCTCACTAACACAGATTTAGACAGATTTGTGAACAATATTTGAGGGGAAATGGTCTTTTGTGTATGTAGAAAAAGTTTTAGATCTTTGAGTTCAGCTCATGAAAAATTGGAGCAAAAACAAAAGTGTTGTATATTTTTATTCAGTGTAATACAATATTTATACATTTTGTTAATCCTCAAACCTGGAAATCCTCAGTCCTGGTAAACTTTTCAGGTCCATTTAACAAACTGTGCACGGTCTATTGTGGTTATTGATGCTGTCAGCTGATGGTATTGTGTGTCAGCCACTTTTAGAGAACCAAACTGAGGGGAAATCAGCTGTAATGAACCTACAGGTGCATTTAGTTCAAATGCTTTAACAACATTCAGTGAGAGAGAAGGGGGATACACCGAGCAGAGCAGAGCAGAGCAGAGCAGAGCAATGTAATAAGCTATTGTTAATATAATATAATCTGTTCTATTTCACAAAAATAGTGTGTATTAAAAGCCTTTACTTAATTTTGCATGATTTTGATTAAACACAAACTGGTTTTGGCATCATGTCCTCATTCGGACAGAAATAAAAGATTCAAGACAGCTGGTTCCATATATATACAATCCACTCTCCACTTTCCACTCCACATATTGTATTACATGATAAAATGGGCAGAATAACCAGCACTGTGTGTGCATCATTTCCTTTACTAAGTGTCTGATCCTATATGTGACTTAACTTCCTGTCTGTGTGCAGGGTGAGCTATCGGACAGCATATCGAAGAGGAGCCAAGACCATGTACCGGAGAAAGTCCCAGTGCTGCCCAGGCTTCTATGAGAATGGAGAGATCTGTGCTCGTGAGCATCTTCTCTCACACACACGCACGCACACGCACACACGCAAGCACGCACGCACGCATGCACGCACACACACACACACATCAGACTAAGAGTTAGAGAAATACATTTAGTAGGGCAAGGCGATATGAAGAAAAATAATTATCACACCATTTTTGACCAAGTATACCTATACTGATATTGAGATAATATTGTAGGGTTGACTTACCCTGGAAATCCAGAGTTCTCGCGAGAGCACAATTTGAATTTGCTCAACAAGTCACTCTGGCAATCAGTAATGATGCTCATTACCCATGCCCTTGGAGCCAAGCTGCACCAATCACATCGGTGTATCTGATATAGGCGGGTCAGAGGCGAGCTAAACAGATGACGACAGTGCTGCGACAACGAAGTCTGGAATCAGTCAGTAAACACTGCAAGATGGCTACAGATGAACACCAGTTGTTTGAAACCAATGAACAAGTTAGACTTGGAAGACGGCGCTCGAATCTTTCCTTTGCAAGAAGGACGTTTTTGCTGTTTTGCCGACCGGATACAGCAAGAGTCTAATCTACCAGTTAGCTCCGCTGGTAGCTAAGCTCTGGATACGTCACCCCGTGTACTGTTCTGATTGGTCATAGTGTTATCCAATTGCGTGCAGTGATATTTTCAAATGCATGCTTGGTGCCGTCCCATGAGTTTGGCCATTTGCATTACTCATAGCCAGACCCTAAATCTTTCTAGATTTGGGTCTGGATTTCCAGGCTAGGGTTGACTACCGGTGCTTTGACAAAACATTTACACAATGAGATTTATGATAAATAATCGTCAGTAGTGTGGATATAATTACTCAGTGGGTAAAGGCAAATACTAGAACAGCTTCAACTGTCTGGTAAGTTCAGAAAATTACGTCACTTTACTTTAATGCAGCCTATAAACCAGTAAAAGACAACACTTAATGTTATTACTATATCCAAAATCTGAAATGATATCTAGTCTGATATCACAATATCAGTGTAACATTGGGGCGTCGGTGGCTTAGTGGATAGAGCAGGCGCCCCATGTACAAGGCTGCTGCCACAGCGGCCGGGTTCGACTCCAGCCTGTCGCCCCTTGCTGCATGTCACTCCCTCCCCCTCCTTCACACCTGACTGCCTTATCAATTAAAGGCTAAAATGCCCCAAAATATATCTTTTAAAAAAAACAAACAATATCAGTGTAATATTTATAATTTCCCAGCTCAAACATTCATCTTAATTTGGCATCATTCCAGCTTGATTGAGTAGACTGACATAAACAGAAAGTAGAAGATAATATCGTAAAAACTAGCAACCATAATGATTGAGTGGTAGAATATGGTTCCAGCCCATTCGCCAGAAGAAAATGCTGGCATTGTGCACGTTTAATAGCTATCATATCAACATTTCTAAACTGAAGTTATGTGACCTGATTTTTTCGTTTGGAGGTGGAGGGGGTACTGGATGGCATGACACCTAGGCGAGACACCTGCCATGCTGCTGACCATTGTATTTTTTATTTTTTAGCGAGTCATTGCTGTGTTTCCTGTCAAACGTGGGTGTTTTTTTAATAAGCCATTGTTGTGTTCCCAGCAGGGATTATGCCCCAAAAGCGGGTACTTTAATATTTTAATCCAAAACATGATCTTGTCCTGACCGTGGTGACTGTTAATCAGAATATATGTTTCAAACAGATAACGCATAAAAGTTATGTTGCAGTAGTTGTTGTATGTGCAGCTCTGTGGATGATATGCTCATTTTTGTTAAGAAACAACTGTTTTTCAACTCTTTCCTCTCACACACACAGTTATTTAAATCTATCGAAACTGATACACAAAAGAAGTAACAAAGAATGAATGATTAAAAGCAAGCTATAAAAAAGGTATAGCTTGGAATTTTGAAGTGCGGTTGTATGGGATACTTATCCATAGTTAGTATATTACGTACAGTGGATGTCAGTTGGCACGCCCCAGTTTGGAAAAGCAGGCTGGAATGTGACACATAAGCAGAACAATATACTGTGGATGGGTCAGCAACAAAATATATTTTAGCCACGTAAGAAAGTCCCACCTAAAGACATCAATATCAGTTTAAGTGTACGCTATGTTGAGAGTACTCTCAGCACTTTACCTTTCTGTTAGACAACCCATTCCAGTGGGAAAGCCTTTAATGGCTTCAGTTCCCCATTTAAGCTCTCACCAAAGCCACCATGCTCCATTGACAAAAACATTAATTTTAGCTTGCTGAACACGGAAGCTAAACAAACTAAATCAAACTAATCTTGACTAGTTTGATTGAATTAGTTTGTTTTATTGTGTGACTTTGTTGAATCCGAACTAACCCTTTTAAACACCAAAGTCACACAATAACACAAACAAAATAACTCTTCAAGGCAGTGGTAGACCAGCAGCTCCTGTGTTGAGCAATGTAAAATCACTGTTTTTCTCAATTAAAGGCGCTGTATGTAAGAATGGGGCCAAAACGGTTACTGCACTCAAATTCAAAATACTGCCGCAAGTCGTGTCCGCCCCCCCTCCCCTACAGATTCGAGGTTGCTGGACAGCGGCACGCTGGAGACTGATTTGTTTGCCCACGGGTGGCTGCCGTGGCAGGGATCTTTGGTTTTCCAGCAGACCGTTCGAGCAAGTCCGGCTTCTCTGCTGCTAACGCTGCTGCCGGGATACAGTGGAGGAGCCAGCTGCTAATGCTATGTACTGGGACACTGCTAACGCTGCTTGCCGTGCTGCTGTAGCTCAGTCGTAACTGTAACTGATACTGAGACTCTACTGACTGCGTGACTGGTAGACGGCGGTGAGTGGCGCAACAGGCCAAAACACAAATTCAAAACATAAACATGATTTGCGGACCGTAAAATATTTTTTTAAATGCGAATATTCTGGCTGTACTATTGTTGTCGGTGAGATCAGTATGTTATATGAACATTATTCCTTAGTCTCTGTAACATATTAGGAGGATTTTACGACTATTTGCTTTAGATTTCTTACATATAGCTCCTTTAAGTCTGGCTTTGAAGAGCAGATATATCGGCCTCATTTCCCTGTTGAACATCACTTTCTGACATTAAGGTGAACCAGTGAATATACCAATGAATATGTAGCATACACCCAAACTGATATTGATTGTTTTTAGGTTTGATGAGAGTACAGATGGGGAACCGAAACCGTTAATGGGAGTTAAACCAGAACCGACTATTTGACGAAAAGGTAAAGCGGTGAAAATACTCTCAGTATAGCGTACACTTCAATTCATCCATCCATCCATTTTCGTAACCGCTTATCCTCTTGAGGGCCGCAGGGGGGCTGGAGCCTATCCCAGCTGACATTGGGTGAGAGGCAGGGTACACCCTGGACAGGTTGCCAGACTATCGCAGGGCTGACACATAGAGACAGACAACCATTCACATTCACACCTATGGAAAATTTAGAGTCACCAACCTATCCCAAACCTGCATGTCTTTGGACTGTGGGGGGAAGCCGAAGTACCCGGAGAAAACCCACACTGACACAGGGAGAACATGCAAACTCTGTACAGAAGGACTCCCTCCTGGGATCGAGCTAGGAACCCTCTTGCTGTGAGGCAACAGTGCTCTCTTCAAGTCAAGTCAATTCAGTTCAATTCAGTTTTATTTATAAAGCCTAATATCACAAATCACAATTTGCCTCAAAGGGCTTTACAGCATACAACATCCCTCTGTCCTTTGGACCCTCGCAGCAGATAAGGAAAAACTCCGTCCTAAAAAACCTTAAGGGGGGGGGGGGGGGGAGAAACTTGGAAGAGCAACTGAGGAGGGATACCTCTTCCAGGACGGACAGACATGCAATAGATGTTGAACAGAACAGATCAGCATAATAAATTTACAGTAATCCATATGACAAAATGAGACATAAAGAAAGACAGAGACACTTAAACTGATTTTTGTAGGTGGCTTAAATACTTTTTGTTGCTGAGTCTTTTACAGCAGTAGATTCTGGAGAAATGAGGTTAGTAATATAACCAATGCACAATGAGTATCACTGAATGGTTTGATGAGTGTGAAAATGATGTGAATCATATGCTGTGGCTTTCACAATCACCACACTCCACTACTCTGCCCTGCAGGATGAGGAAACATAGTTCAGCTGAATGACTGTCCCTAGTCAGAAAAACAGAACCTTGTTCTTTTACATATGTTGCCATTACAGTGACCTTACTTGCCAATGAGGCTACTGTGCACCCCCCACCCAGCCCTGTCAGTAGCCAGCAGGCAGTGACAGGTGTGAAGCCATAGTGGCCAGTGGCAAAACAACAACTGTTGTTGAGCAGCAATAGTAAAAGAAATCATTATGTTAACACACAGCCTGCTGTTGTGATGCTGGAAGTAGTTGGTGGTATAAAAGTCATAATATCTCTGTGCTTTGGTGGAGATGTGACCACAGTTTGATTTACACAGAGGCTGTGATAATGTGCCCCGGGAGATCAGAGGGGAATTTATTTTTGAGTGAAAAGGCTCTCTTGTATAAGCAACCATCACATGTTGCTCTGAAAAACTCTCTGAACTCCTCGACAAAACAAAGCAGGAAGGAGGATGTGCCAGATATTCTAGGCAACATGGCATTTCCAGATGGGAATCAGATAGGAGAGGAAGTAGAATTGCAGTAAGGTTGAAATTAGTACATTTTTTGGACTGAATCAGTGTGTTCCTGCTACACAATTGAATTTCAAAAAATACTGTAAAGCCTAGTCAATGGATGTGTGATGGTTTTGTGATGACAGATGTAGAGATTAAGCAACATAATACTATCTGCTGAGGACCGAGGGAGCTTCTTCTTCTTCTTCCCTCTTCTTCTTCTTCTTCTTCTTCTTCTCCCACTTCTAGTTTATTGTTTTTATGCCTCCACACTGACAATAGCCAAAGCCAGAGGCATTATGTTTTCGGGTTGTCCGTCCATTCGTCTGTACGTCCATCCCGTTCTTATGAATGCTTTACCCAGTGGTGACAGTGAAAATAAATTATGGGTGGATGAGTTTTTTTTTCTTTTGATGGGTTGTGCAGTTTTTCTACACTTAGCATTAAATATCCAATGTGATCTCACAGAAATACATGAAATGACCATGACCTCTGAACACTGCATCAACATATTGATGTGACGTATGTGTTGAGCAACAACTCTACTTAGTTAAGTCTTCAGTTTTTCACATAAAATAACTACACTATTTACATAGGTGATGTAAGAACATTGATACAGATAAAACAGAGCGGCACCACCGGAGATCGTGTAGGCAGTGTAGCATAGTTCAAGTGAGATACTACTGTAGGAGATGACGAAGGCATTTAAATAATGGCAGGATGGAGCAAATCAATAATATAGTGAAAAGAATTCTCCATCCACATGTTGGGATGTATATAATGGTCGCACAGATCACCACTGTCTACAATGCTGCCTCTGTTTCAAGGCACAATCTTTGGACCTCTTCCACGGTTGCGTTTTTTGTTGCTGTGTGAAACTTTTCATTGAGAGCCATCTAGAGCCATCTATTGGCTGTATCTGTGCCATCGTGAAGGACGCATGGAAGTATGAGGGCAGTGACGGTTTTTGAAACAATTATCTTTTTCATATGTAAAGGGAGTATAAATGAATCTTAATTCTGTTTTAAACTTGGACCTTAAGTTTAAAACTTAGTTTGAACTGTCTGGATTATTGTCCTCTTGCAACAGAAATCAAAAGTGTCATATGCATGGGGACACAGAAGCTGGTTGAAAATCAGTGTAAACCATCTGGAAAATCTGGATATTTTCCAGTGAAAACCATTCAGAGCTGAAAACAATAATTATTTATAACTTGAATGACATACTTTTAAACAAAATGGTCCAGTCCTATTTTGGATTAAGTCAAGCTGAGTCATCTGTCTGGGAAATCTCAAGTAAGCCAAGTCTTACAACCAAGTCCAAGTAAAGTTGCGTGTACTAATTGTACGACACAAGTCAGATTCAGGTGCTACATCTTCATTCTCCAGCTCTATTAGAGGGAAAATATGAATCTAAGTTTTTATTTATTTATGTAGCCCTACGTGACAAACTGTACTGCAGACATCTTTTTTAAAAGTCTTTGTGACTGTACTGATCCCTGTCTTCCTGTCTCCTCCATGTGCAGCTCATTGTGCAGAGAGCTGTGTTCATGGCCGTTGTATGGCCCCCAACACCTGCCAGTGTGAGCCGGGATGGGGGGGCTCCAACTGCTCCAGTGGTAAGTCCTCCAGCTGCTGCTGTCTGTGAGCACTCGCTTCTTTGTGTGTGTGGCTCTGGTTTTCTGTGAAAGCACTCTGAACTCACAAGAGGAAAAACAGACTTTGGTATCATCTTACTGACTGCTGCTCTGCACCACACCAACAGTCTCAGGAGCTAAACACCCTGTTTGTTCTCATAGCTCTGTTTTTCCAGACATGCACACACACATTTCCTCAAGCACTGTACTTATGAACGACTTCGAGATACAAAGTTATAATATAATTATTATTTACTATGTATAGTTAGCTTATATATTAGCTAATAAAATAGTTGAAATTAACTCCACCTCAACCAAACATACAGGCCTGAGTCCAAAAATGTTGGGACATTGTGTGAAACAGAATCGGAGAAACTGGAGAAATCTCTGCATGTAAGGGACAAGGCTGAAAACCAACACTGAATCCCCGTGACCTTTGACCCCTCAGACGGCACTGTATCAAAAAACTGATATGATTGTATAAAGGATATTACTACATGGGCTCAGGAACACATTGGAAAACCTTTGTCAGTAAACACAGTTTGTTGTTGCATCTACAAATGCAAGGCAAGACTACCATGCAAACTTAAAACACCAGATATCAACAACATCCAGAAACACCACCAATTTCTCTGGGCCTGAGCTCATCTGAGATGGACTAACACATGAATGCACACAACCATGAATGCTGAAAGGTACATTCAGGTTTTGGAGCAACATATGCTGCCATCCAGACAATGTCTTTTTCAGGGACGTCCTTGCTGATTCCAGCAAGAAGATTTGACACATTCTGCATGTGTACCAACAGCGTGGCTTTGTCATAACAGAGTGCAGGTACTAGACTGACCTGCCTGCAGTCCAAACCTGTCTCCCATTGAACATGTGTGGCACATTACAAAGCTCAAAATATAGCAATAAAGACCTCGGACTGTTGAAAAACTGAGGTTTTACTTTCAAATCTTCAACAGTTAGTGTCCTCAGTTCCCAAACACTTAGTGAGTGTTGTAAAAAGAAGAGGTGATGTCACACAGTGGTAAACATGCTCCTGTCCCAACTTTTTTGGAACATGTTGGAGGCATCAAGTTCAGAATGAGTGTATATTTCCAAAAACAGTTAAGTTTGTCAGATTGAACATTAAATATCTTGTCTTTGAACTGTATTCAATTGATTATAAGTCAGAAAAGATTTGCAAATCATTGCATTCTATTTTTTTGTATGTTTCCCAACTTTTTTGGAATCAGGGTTGTTTGTAAAAAAAAATCCAAATATAATTCTGAACTTAAACTTTAAGGAATGGCGCCATCATCAGTCTAAATCACTCTGGTCAGGAGAAACAATCTAAAACTATAGGCCAGATTCCAATATAGTTTGTAGTTGGATTTCTTGGTCCGTTAGCATGAATCCTAACAGCTCACTTGGCAGAAGAAAATGTTGGCATTGTATGTTTCTGCAGACAACAGATACATTACATTTGTTTCATACATATGCCATTGTTTCTAAAGTGATCCAAGAAGTGGAGAGGGCATGTTACCGAGGCGAAATGCCTGCTGAGCTGCAGACCACTTTTTGACATCAACAAACAACGAAACTGGTTTTGATTTAGTGAGTCATTGCTGTGTTTCCTGTGGCTTTTTAGACACTTAACATAGGTGTTTTTTATTGACCTGTTGCTGTTTTTCCACCAAAGATAGTGCCATGATGCTTATATACAGAGACATCAGTCTCTGTATATAAGTCTCCAGGGACTGTGCCACCAAAAGTGGATACTTTGAGCCAAAACTTTTCCAAACCTTAACCAAGTGGTTTCTGTGCCTAAGTCTTAACCTAACCACCCGTTAGCCATAGCGTTGTTGAAATGTAAAGAAACAAGGTTTATTGAACCACCATATAATAACACACAAATGTAACATATCTGTGGTTTGCAGAAATGTTCAATACCAATATTAATTCTGGCAGTTCAGTTGAATTATAACCCCCCTGACCACCATTAACCAACAATTTCTATATGTAAACAAAAATAGCAACATTTTAAAGGCCAGTTGTCCTGAATGTTGTCACAACCCCTTCACTGTGCTCTGACTAAGCTCAGCAGGCAGTCACTTGAGGCTGACAGTATTTTTTAATTGAGTTAGTCTGCACAGTAGGTAAATTATAGTTCTGTCTAGAACAACATGATCTATGATACCCACCCCCAGTCTCTGTTGCCGTCAGCTGCCATTTTTTCAGTTTCGGACCCGCTGCTTAGCTCCCTTATTTCCGTATCAGCCTTGCATTATGAGTATAAATGTATTTTCCAGCCACGTATAGATGTAGTATCTCGTAAGTAGTTTGTCAGAGTTTATGGGCCACTTCCTCTGAGGTCATGTCACTGTAGCTTGTTCTTGTTTACCAGCTCAAGGATCCTGATTGAACAATGCTCAACTCTTGTGTCTAAGAATGGCATGTGTGTTTGTGGAAATGCTTTTGGATTTCCCGCACCAACTAACTCTTTGATGGGTTTTTTTAGTTTAATTATCATGTTAAAAAAATTGTTGTCCTTAGATGAACCTCATTGAGCCATCTTTAGCACTTGGCTGACACGTGCCATGCCCAAAAAATACCCTGAGGACACTGCCATTTAAAGTTTCCATCATATTCTTATTATAATTTAGTTTCAGAGAGCGTACTGAATAGAATAATGTTCATGCAATAGACAAATCAACCATTTGGTCAAGGCTCAATTTCAGAGATGGCTGGTATAAATGGGCTAGCAGGGCCAAGCCCAGCCTATCTTTTACAATAAAGATGAGAAAATTATTAAATTAACGAAAATATTAAAATATTAGTTATTGAACCTTAGAACTGATTGTGTTTGGTGGAACCTATAGCAGCAACAGCACTAAAATAGTCACAAAAATGCAGGATTTATCTAAATGTGCTGATTTTTTACAGCCCATACTCCTATAATCAGCTTCCAATCATTGTTGTCACATCGTGATAGACATATGTCGTGACAAGCCCCCTTGATTTACTGTCCAGTTGGGCTAAATTAATTCAGCCCAGGCCACTGACTTTTGGCCAATGACAGTGCGTGGAAGTACAGTGAGGGCCTGTCCACTGTAACTGTAGTGGGAGAGTGAGCGTTGAGTCTTGCGAATTGCGTTACGCTGGGTGCACAACCTATTTTTCCTGTTTTAACAGAGCGTTTCCCCAACGCATTCCCCACCCCCAGAACAATGCCGTGAGGTTCTGTCGTTGACGGACCTGGCCAGATGCGGGCGGCTAGCTAGCGTGCTGTTGGCGAGAGCTGTTAGCGAAGTCATCTAGCAGAAGAGCTAGCAATATCTTCCTGTGAAGATCTCTCATGTTGACTGTCACTGTACCAACTGAACTGAGAGGAGCTGAGTAGTGTACTATTGAAAGAGCTGATATGTACAGTACAGGCCAAAAGTTTGGACACACCTTCTCATTCAATGCGTTTTCTTTATTTTCATGACTATTTACATTGTAGATTCTCACTGAAGGCATCAAAACTATGAATGAACACATGTGGAGTTATGTACTTAACAAAAAAAGGTGAAATAACTGAAAACATGTTTTATATTCTAGTTTCTTCAAAATAGCCACCCTTTGCTCTGATTACTGCTTTGCACACTCTTGGCATTCTCTCCATGAGCTTCAAGAGGTAGTCACCTGAAATGGTTTCCACTTCACAGGTGTGCCTTATCAGGGTTAATCAGTGGAATTTCTTGCTTTATCAATGGGGTTGGGACCATCAGTTGTGTTGTGCAGAAGTCAGGTTAATACACAGCCGACAGCCCTATTGGACAACTGTTAAAATTCATATTATGGCAAGAACCAATCAGCTAACTAAAGAAAAACGAGTGGCCATCATTACTTTAAGAAATGAAGGTCAGTCAGTCCAGAAAATTGCAAAAACTTTAAATGTGTCCCCAAGTGGAGTCGCAAAAACCATCAAGCGCTACAACGAAACTGGCACACATGAGGACCGACCCAGGAAAGGAAGACCAAGAGTCACCTCTGCTTCTGAGGATAAGTTCATCCGAGTCACCAGCCTCAGAAATCGCAAGTTAACAGCAGCTCAGATCAGAGACCAGATGAATGCCACACAGAGTTCTAGCAGCAGACCCATCTCTAGAACAACTGTTAAGAGGAGACTGCGCGAATCAGGCCTTCATGGTCAAATAGCTGCTAGGAAACCACTGCTAAGGAGAGGCAACAAGCAGAAGAGATTTGTTTGGGCCAAGAAACACAAGGAATGGACATTAGACCAGTGGAAATCTGTGCTTTGGTCTGATGAGTCCAAATTTGAGATCTTTGGTTCCAAGCGCCGTGTCTTTGTGAGACGCAGAAAAGGTGAACGGATGGATTCCACATGCCTGGTTCCCACTGTGAAGCATGGAGGAGGAGGTGTGATGGTGTGGGGGTGTTTTGCTGGTGACACTGTTGGGGATTTATTCAAAATTGAAGGCACACTGAACCAGCATGGCTACCACAGCATCCTGCAGCGACATGCCATCCCATCCGGTTTGCGTTTAGTTGGACGATCATTTATTTTTCAACAGGACAATGACCCCAAACACACCTCCAGGCTGTGTAAGGGCTATTTGACCAAGAAGGAGAGTGATGGAGTGCTGCGGCAGATGACCTGGCCTCCACAGTCACCGGACCTGAACCCAATCGAGATGGTTTGGGGTGAGCTGGACTGCAGAGTGAAGGCAAAGGGGCCAACAAGTGCTAAACACCTCTGGGAACTCCTTCAAGACTGTTGGAAAACCATTTCAGGTGACTACCCCTTGAAGCTCATGGAAAGAATGCCAAGAGTGTGCAAAGCAGTAATCAGAGCAAAGGGTGGCTATTTTGAAGAAACTAGAATATAAAACATGTTTTCAGTTATTTCACCTTTTTTTGTTAAGTACATAACTCCACATGTGTTCATTCATAGTTTTGATGCCTCCAGTGAAAATCTACAATGTAAATAG